GGACCCTTGCCCATAAGTACCTAATACTAGAAGAAAGATCTGTAGGTTAAAATATGAACCGGTACTTTTCTGTAAATTACATTTCTAAGTCAAGTCATCTTCTCTTTTGAGACAAGTGCTTCCAGCTCCCTGAACCCAACAATTAGACTTATTTTCAAAAGTGTGCAAGGGCCATGGAAGGTTTAGCACAAGAAGCATTCTGTTGCACCTAAACAGCAAAAAGAACCGTAAATACCACGCAAAAGGAAATAAACAGTCTGATATAGAATATTTCAAAGTATTTGTACTATTATATAAGGGAAATAGAAAGTTACGGTTTTGAAATCAACATTCCTGATCTTAGAAGGAAGAGATTCAGGCATAGAGATCAGCCAACGTCCCAAATGTCTCAAAAATGTAATTCTTTGATCTAATAAAATGTCAGTTTAAGACAAGATGGCTAAATTCTGAAGGAAGAGAATAAGGAAGCTAATTGGGATACTATTGTTTATCTTAAAAAGTCTTACAGTCAATTTTCAATCAAAACAGGAGTTATTCTTTTGCAACTTAAAAGGGCAAAAAAAATTGTAAGAATAAACCACGTCTGTGATGGACATCAGCCATTATTACTGAAAAGTTGGTTGGGCAGCATTATCCCAAAATCTTGCCAAATTTACTCACCTCTAAGAAGAAGCTTTGAGATTTATAACCAGAAACATATAAATTGGTAGTAGTGAGGTGCAATATTTTAATCTGCAGTTATTGTAGTCTACTCAGCATGTCATAATACAGAATTCAGAGTTCTTTCTTTTCACGTGCAATTTCAAGACGACTTATAAGTCAATATTTAAATGAACTCTAACCTTCCTTCATGCAAATGCACAACAGCCAAGAGTTTAGGCAAGAGTTTGGCAAGTTGTAACTTTCTTTAAAATTGTCACGATCGCATAGACAGCGTCTCCAATTAGGACACATCCCACAACGTATCCCAACCAGATGCTTCACTCCGAGGCAACAGCTGTAGCAGCCAGCACTGCACTTTCAGCAAGAGTGCATGTTACAGGATGAAGAAATTTGAAAGCGCTACCAACAGGCATTTTTAGAGATGGCCAGAAGGGCAGTGCTGATGCACACCTGCAGATGTTTCTTCATGACACTAGGGAGAGCGTATCACGCTGACATATGCACGTGGGACGGTTCCCAACACCAGCACAGCCCCACAAACCCTCCTGCCAGCACTATTTCATTTCAAGCAACTCTACACTATCACACAAGGATGGTTGGAAACAAAAAAAAAAAAACAAACCACGACCACAAACCTTTCTCAGCCTCCTTCTGCCTTCTACATGCCTAAGAGGATATTAAATTCGAGATTTTGTACCTATGAGTTGCATTATCAAATTCTATGTCTATGGATCACCTATTATTATCATATACAAAATACAGACCAGCTGCTTTGCTCTTCCACACCAATTCAGAACAGGGCAGAGCCAGACCTGTAATGCATACTTATAAAAAGTATTTTGACTTCTGCAAATCAAAACACTGACTATTCTGTCAGGTATTTTTAAGGATCAAAATAAATCACTGTGTTCAACTCACCTACTCAATGACCAAGTTTTCCACCACGACACTGTTATATTGTCCTCCCACCGCTTTGTTTAAACACGTGCTGTACCAATGTATCACTCATGATCTGCAACGTACATTTATACAAAAGTGTTTCACTCTATTTATAGACTGGAGCAGTCTTCAGAACTCCTCATCAGGCAACAACTATAAATAGCCTAGCATTTTTTAAAACATGCACGTACTCTGATGAGAAGACCATCTGAAAAATAACATATATTGCATTTACGTTGAGTTTAATTATTGCAACAGGCAACGAGTCAGAAGCCTGATGCAAAATTCCGTAAAACTTGGGCACTGGGTAAACATCAGCGTGGTAAATACTGATAACATTTGATCAAAGAAGTTTTTCCTGGGAAGAACTCAATGTGCTTATGATGAGCACTCTCCATCCTGTCCCCCACCTTCCCTCCCAAACCCTGACAAATATTTGCAACTCCCAAGTCTCTCGAATCTGAGTGAAAAACTGCCTTATGAAAGTCACAGCACATCAGCACATGATGCTCAAAGTAGCTTCTGAAAGCAGAGTACTCCAGGTATCAGATGCAGCTGGAAGAACTACGATTGATTTTAATTACAGCATTATTCTAGGAGCAATATCCAAAGCCCAGAGGGCACACAGGTTCTTGATCTTTGACCTCTATGCAGTAAGTAACATACTCCAAAGTCTGCATCATCTCTATACCACTACGACATAGGTTTAAGTTCATTGCAGCTGCACAAGCCCATCATTTGGTCCTTTCACTCTTCCATTCCTGCAAGCCCTTCACTCTTTGCCAGGCAACTGAAATACAGGGGCCTTTAAAGTATTCAGAGGTCTTCTATTTAAACAGCAAGTACTGAAAACACTAGAAATCCCTCCAGTCGAGGTGTCCATTTGCTCTGTAAGACACCACATAAACAACCATCGCAAGCTGTGGTATGCATTCCGAGCAGTAACAATCAATCACTAAATAGCAAGTTACAAGTCACTGTTTGACAGCACAACTTCAAGAACAGCTAAATTACTATTGCCAGATCTACTAAAAGCTGCAATCAGCAGTATGAGATACTGCCAGGGAAGAGGGAAGGCAAAAAAAAAAAGAAAGAAAAAAAGAGAATTTGCAAGGTTAAAGCCAGTAAACAACAACAAAAAAAACCCCACGCAGATATTTACGTTCAAATGTGTTTCAATTTGTGAATGCAATACAAGCATCTTGCTGTTTTTCAAGATCTACTCCAATTTTCACAAGAACAAGCAATTATAAAACTCTGTAACATTAAGTGCTATGAGAGCACACACGAGGAGTGCTATGACCAAACTCGCACTGCTACACAAGGGCTGGCTGGATAGAAACACTGTTAGCAGAGAAGGCGTTTGCTTTAGAGCACCAGCTAAACAAGCTACTTTGGTTTCCTGAACACTGTTCCTTGTTGCAGGACAGTACTGGATCAGTGAACATGTGATAAAAAATGATGTGATTCCAGGATGTCAAACTGCCCCGCAGCGCAGTGGCTTTAAACTTCCTCTTCACATGATCAGATTAACGCTCAGGCCTACATAAAAGTTTAGTTTAGAAGTTTACTTTTAGCCATGGGTTCACACTTTAAAAAAAAAAATTTACTACTTTGACTTTCTCTGGGATAGTTTAGGAAGCTGTCCTGCCTCTTCCAGCAAAATTATCCCACGAGAAACCGGATGAGAATTTTTCTCTCTGCCATCTCACAGACCACAGCTTTCCTTCTCTACTTAGCCCTTTTTATTTTATAATTTCTACCAAACTCATTCACATCCTCCTCCTGTGTTTTCATCTTTCTAGCGCTCCCTTGAGCAGCCCTGTGAAGACTACAAAAGGAATGCAGAACAATTCCTTGCATGGACGTGGTGGACCAAGCAGAGCTGTACTTTGCTTAGTTTGGCAGATATTCTCAGTATTATAAAAACTACTTTTGTGCACAAATATTCAGTTTGCAAAAGTATCTCTCCCCCACCACCCTCCAAAAAAAAAAAAAACCCCACCAAAAAGCTGTCAGCACACCACTCTTGCAATGTAATTGCAAAATACTTATGATCCTCCAATATTCCCCTGTATGAAAGCGCTCAGGAAGTCGCCATTTAGCATCTGGCTGTAATAATCTGCAGGGCTTCTGTGGATAATTTCCCCCAGTGCTTATTACAGATGTTTATGAAAACGTAATCTTAAATGGGGTCAAATTATTTAATTATGTTTCTACGTTGCATGTCAAGTGTAAGGCTAATGAGCAGAGAATTCATTTTTGACAGAAAAAAATTAGGCCACCCCCATCCTAATTGAAAAGAATAGTAAATTCCTTTAGAAATTACTAATTGAAAGGCAGGTGTTGTACACTTGCTATTATTCTCTTTTTACAAGACCAAGTACCATTCATGAAGCCCAAAACCCACAGAAATTTTATTCAGTCATCTATTTTTGTTAAATCTACATATTTACATTCATGGCTCCTACGGCTCAGATAACACAGCCTTAAACAAGAATAAAGTTACCCTCGCTACCTCGTTCAGCCGTCCATTCCCCAATTCACAGCAGCCAACGAGCTGACTGTGGATAACTGGGCATGACTGACCATACACTGAGCTGTGTACAGACCTGGCGGAGCACGTGTCTTCCTGAGCAGCGAGAAGAACTGGACAAGACTTAGTTCTGCAACTCATCTTCTGGTGGGCTACTACCTGAAGGTCACAGCGGCAACACGCTGCTCCTTACTACGTAACGATTTCACTTGATATTACCCCTTTAGATCAAAAAGAGTTAATGTTTCTCTCCAGAAATATGGCGTTTTGGAAAAAAAACACCTTCAGAGTGCACCTTCTGACATGAACTAAGGAACAGAGCTCTCTTTTAGAAAAACTGCTGAAAGCTGTATTTGACTTGAGCTCCCAGATTCTTGGGGATCCACAGCTGCTTCTGAGGGTCCTGGAAAGGCAACTATGGAAAGAAAGCCTACTGGCCTGAATTCAAGTATGTTTATGCACACCATGTAAGAGTTCCCACTACTACAGGAAATTTTTTACGGGATCCACAAATCCTATTTGAAAACCACAGATTTAAAACATATCCTCCAGTAAACAAGAGTTTTACTGTTAAATATACCCAGTTAGTTTCAAGATATTTTTTCTCAGTCTGTTCACTTTCTTTGGACACAGATTTCTTGCTGCTCTGCTTCCCAAAAGGGTAAGTATTTTGATACAATCCATACCGTCATTACTAGACGACTGATAGATACTAGTTGTGGGCAGTAACTATGGGATGCAATCTCTTCACAGTGGACAGATCGCTTTCCCCCAGCACGCTGTTCACAACAAAAGGATAAAGAAAAGAACATTCTACATGAGAAAAGTTGGAAGCGTAATGAAGAAATACGGTAACACTTACGGTCAAGTCCATTGATGTATCTCATTGTAATTTCACAGTGCCCCCAAACTGCACTGACTATGGGGTAAAGTTTTTTCCCTTTTAGTCCCCTGAAGGCCACTCCAAGGTACTGTCCATCTACCATGAAGCTAAGCGTCCCTTCATCCATATCCAAAACCACCAGTAAGGAGTCTGGGAGTACAAAAGACTCATCCGGTTCCAAAAAGACAGGATACGTGACCCCAGGCTGGTTTTTACAATTGTGGTAGAGTTTGTTGCGTCCCAGATCCCAGCCCCACGATTCACTGTTGCTACCAACCAACGACGTGTATCCCACCGAGTGCAGCGGGGCTTCGGCCGTGGAGACGCCCACCACAGCGTGAGTTCCCCGTTGCCTCGTGGGCCAGTGGATTTGCCAGACATGCAGGCCCCTCGTGTAGCCGACTTTGCCCCGGATGCAATCTGTGCTTTGGGCAACTGGATGTCTATGAAAAGTCAGTTTATCGTCTTCCTTTACAAATATATTTAAGGAGCGATCTTCATTGTTCCAAGCGTGTTTATACTGGACCTCCAGCTTGGCAGGGGGCATATCCAACAGCATGTCCAGTCGTGCCGGCTTGCAAAAATCCGGGCCTCTCAGCTCTCGTTTAACGGGTCTATAAGGGGGCTCCCTCACATCCACAGACTTTATGCTCCCTGAGATTTTCTGGCCCATTGCTTGGCTGCAGATTTACAAAGGAGAAAGAAAAGTTGACTTTGGCCCACCGTTACCTCATGAAAGCACTTTTACGCTGAGCCAGTGACCTGACAAGCTGACTGGATTTACTTCTCCCGTTTGGAGCTTTTTAGCAGCAATGTTTTCAGAGGAAAAACGCTCCTGAAAGAAAGCAGAAAGTTTCCAGTTAGTTTAAGAAAGCCAACAAAAAACCCACAGCATATTTTTAAAGAACAACTTCTCATCCCTAGTAGTTATTTCAAACACCAAAGCTGACAATTCACCCCTTTTTGCTCAGTCCCCTACAGTACTAACCAGCCTGCCAGCAGGATACTCCGAGCCCACCAGCGCACAGAGTGCAGACAGTCATTTCCTCCAATTCATAATAGGATGCAGACATTCCCCACCTTCTGCCCTTCCACCCATTTTGTCTGGCCAAGTTCACAGCAGACCTGAAGAAGGCGCACGTTATTCCCCAGCAACAGCGATAAACTTTACGTGCAGCGGCAGCTTCACTTTCACTTGCGCTTTTGTTTCATAGTCTTAGAAATACGCACTATGTCAGAATCTCCTTTCATTTCTAGCTGTTCTCTTCTCTGGGCCCTGGTGACACAGAGCTTCAGCTTCTGTGCTGTTATTAAAACAAGCGCAGCCAACAGCAAATATCTGCAAATTTTAAATGCTTACTTTTAACATACCTTGTCCTTAGATGAAAGAAAAAAACCAAAAATATTCATGAAGCTTTAGGGTTTTTTTAAAGGCACTAAAACAAGAGACGTAATGAGGGAAGAGGAAGGACAAATGGAGAATGGCAATTTCAGCTCTTCAGCAGACTTTTCTATATTGGAAGCTACTCCAACCAGGTATTTTTTCATGCTACGGGACAGCAGGCTAATCCACCTTTTCTATACTGCAGTATTAGGCTGATGCAAAGAAGCAGAATTCAGTAAGACACATGAAGGGGAATACACAATTTTGAAATGTATTCTTTCTGTGCTTCCACAGACAAACATGGTAATGTAGCTCAAAGTGGTCAAAAACACCCAGCAAAGATACTTTGCATTCTGGCTAAGTTAGATTCATTCACCTTTTAGAGCTCAGGTAGAGTGCAAAGGGAAGCCAAGAACCTCTAAAAGTACTGAAGGGATAAAAACGAAGACAGAGTCCTATAGACTCAAGTAGATGATTGACATGGGATCAAATAAAGCATCTGCACCAGCAGACATACATCTGTCATCTAGCAAAGTAAGTGCCAAGTCTGGGAATGCTCAAATACAGCTGAGAAGACCCACCCTGTTTATTTACTGACAGAGTCATGAAGTGTTTCGAGCAGAAGCAAAAAAATCAGACTCCAAAGCCTGAGGAGCCAAGGTGACAGCTGGTTTTCATAAAGCACCAAACAGCAGGCAGGGGCAGAGATGTCTCACAAAAATGTCTTGCAAGGCTTTACTTGGTAAGTCACAAGTCCACGATGTTGTTCTTAAAGAACTTCTGCCCCAGAAATACTGTCCCATTGCAAAGATCATTTCTGAAAGCAGACGAGTCAGAAACATGCACTCACAACTAAAGGAAATAAAAAAAGTCATCTAGGAAAAAACACCACCTGTAAAATTTACTGTTCAACCATGTTTTAGAAGTGAATTGAGTCCTTATATTATTTACAACAGCCAATACCCTGTAGAGTGTTTTCTGTATGTATTACGTACAGAAATGAAATGATACCTGTGCTATGTGAAAGCTTTCTTTCAAAAAAAAAAGTAAAAAGATGATTTTCAAATCCATGTGACAGTTAAGTTACTGTATAAAAATATTATTTTCTGGTGGCTGGTCCCACAAGGGTATATGTGCACATCTGAGCATAAAACAACCACCTCTTTTGCACCCAATTTTAATCCTTAATCAAAATTAAACATAAGCCTCTATGCCCCTCACATCACACTTACAGGAGGATCCAGAACGATTCACAGGACCTTCTTCTCACTGAAAGAGTACCACAACTTGAAAATTACCCCACGTGAAATCAGCTTGAACAAACCCTTTACTCTTTCCAAACCACATAAAAAGAATCTGAAAGTTTAAACAGTAATTACATTTAACTTGACACTTGCCATTTCCACTATCGCAGAAGCACTTACAGGTTGTTTCAAAGGTGTGATGGCAAATTTTGCCCACCAAAGCACGTTCAATACTTGGTTCTACGCTACTAATTCCAGGGGAAATGAAATACTGATGCTAATATACGCACAGGGAAGCAACAGGGAGTAAATGTCATCAGGTAAGTAAGCAAGCTTTCCTAGGAGGACACATGCTCAGGGATTGGGTAATTCCTTTTTTAAAAAAAAAAAAAGTACTTGATTATTTGAGCTGGAAAGAAGGATATGAAAAGGCAAAAAAATATCAGATGTTCAAAAGGGAAACCTAGCAATTTCTGCATGAGATTTAGCCCTACATGCCTTTGAAAATTTCCTCTTTAGAGCACAAGACAATTGCCACGTTCCTGTCAGGTTGCACAGGGGAGTCGGCCGGGGAAGTCCTCAGTGCATCCTCCTGTATCACTTCCTGAGCACACGCAAAACTGAACTTGGCACACAGGTTGACCTGGCAAATCACCAAGAGGTTATAAACACCAAAGTGACTCACTTGGCAAGCCACAGACAAACATTCTTCCTAATGTGCCCCAAACTGTAACACAAACAAGCTGCTAATTGATAGATCAGTAATTCAGAGGAGTAAACCACATCAGTGTAAGTACCTTGATACGTGTACAACTACTGTGCATTTACTCTGGGATGTGCTTAGTACGCACTTCGGTTTGAAACCGTATCTTACAATATTAGGCCCTTCTTCATAAACAGACATTACCAGATTATTTAATTAAATAACGGAACAGTTTGCCAAATAGCTTTATATGGACATAGGACTGAACAATAGCATGAAAATCTTACAGTTTACTGATGCATTCAAGATGCTGCAGTTCCTAAGCAGCGGTACAGCTCCAAAGCCATCTTTCATAAACACTTTCTGCCACCCACTGTAACATATTACACTCTCTTGCATCCTAGTTCTGTGTAGCTGGTAATTGGTCCCAACTCCTGTTAGGAGGCCAACTACAGCCACACCGATCTCCTTCAAGTATCGGTGGACTTGAACAAGTAAACATTAAAAAAAAGTCAACACAATCATTTGTAGCAGTACAGCAATAAAGGTGTAACCTTGTGCTGGCTGTAATCTAACAGCTCTGATTACCTGTCATTAATAGTAGCTGACATAAAAACTTTATATGAGGAGGCAGTGAGGGCTCACAACCCATGCAACATTAACATCAGCTCTACAAGGAGCGACTCATGCAGAAAGTCATCCTGGCAGCTCACAACGGTCCTGCTGGTTGCTTGCAGGAGCAACCTGTCTCAGAGCCAAGGCCATCTCTTCCCTTTTCTTGCCTGCATCCTGTCCACTTACACCAGGCAGACTGCAGAGACTCACAGTGAGGTGGGGAAGAGCAGCAGAGGCATCCCTGCCTCCTTCACCCTGCCAGAAGCTGCTGCTGCAGCAGCACGGCTTACCAGGGACAGCCCGTCTCCACTGACAAACATCCCCTCCCTACTTCCACAGGTGATATCCTACTGCCAAAGGCAAAGCCCCGGACACGTCATGCTCACACCATTATTCTCAGGATCTCCTGGCAGTTTCTCCCCACGGAGCTACACAACTATTGCATGTCGGGGGTCGCAGGCAAAGCTGAGCACAACACTCACAAGGGGAAGCGGAATGATGACCAATTCATCTGGCAAAGGTACTCCAAACTGGCTTCCTGTCTGCAGGACTGGATGGCTACACCAAACGGGATTAGTAAAAGTTGTGGGTTGACCTGAAAGGATGGAAGATTGTTCCTTTCAGATTATGTACTATTCAAGCCATTTACAGAAATATTTGGTTGTAAAACCTCCTCACCATCTCCTTACATAATAAAAACTTGCAAAAACACAGCATCATCATTCAACTCTTGTGACTTTTGTAATCTTATACATGCAAGGAAATCTAAGTTTCTCTAAGTAGTATCTTCCCACTAGAGAAGTATTCTGAAATTAAAAGAACACGCATTTTCACTGTACAGTTTTCCTTTGAACTTCTTCCCAAACTCTGCTCTTCCAGTAATTTCAAACCACCTCAGGAGTTTGGAAATAAGAAAATATTTCCATCTGGCTTACTATGTATGACCTCTCCATTTTACCTGTTTAGTGACTACAGCTGAAACGCTAAGTTTCATCAGTTTTCCCTGCGACAAAAGGTACTTCATGGAAAAGAAAGTAGTGTTTTTGTGGGAAGAGAAGAACCATATACAAGTACACTCCTGTAGCAACTGGAAATCTCTGGATGAGAACACTGTTAGTTTTTGGAACCTAAATTATTTCTGCCTCTCAGTTTCACACTCATGCCACGCTTTGTCAGGATATGATGATTAAATTAAATGTACTGTACAAGACCAAGCCAACTCCAAACAGGAAAAGTGTGTCAATGTCACTTAGCAGTGTCCTCATGCAGACTGCCAAAATATTTAGGGAAATTATTCACAATAAAAACACAAGTTATACTTACCAGAGAAAGGCCTGCTGGGACACCACTTTGCTGTAATTAAATAGGGCGCATTTTTTTAACAACTCAGTATGCTGGCATCAGTAGAACACAACTGCTGATAAAAGAAACATGCTTTCTGCAAAGTCAGCTTTCAGCATTCATAGTTATGTTTCCCTCTGGATTATCACGAACTAGATGTGCAGAAATCTTGGAAATATGCGTGAGAAATGACACCATGTAAACGCAATTCAAAACTACAGTAAGAATGTGCTAATACTTAAGTTAATTCTGCTAAATTGACACTTAACAAAAAAAAAAAAAGAGAGAAGCTGGTGAGCACCAACTAACGATCCTGACTGGTGAAACTGTCTATCAGAAAAAGCGGGGCAGGTGTTCCCTCCATCTACCAGCATTTCAAACTTCTA